ATGAGATTGTCAATGCCAAAGTTCTTGTCCATGTCACAGCTCATTAGAAAGTTCATTTGTTTAGGATAGAGATGGATTCTAGAAAAAACATTCTTTTATCTCCAAGGATTTGGGCCTTTTCCCTTCCAGTAGGGGAAAGTGGGCAAGAATAATTAGTGATGTTGATCTCTGTGATATGATTAAGATTCTTAACACTTACTGGGCCCATAAATCCTGATTTTTTTTGGTACTGGGATTTGAACTCAGGGACACTCAACCACTGAGCCACATCCCCAGCCCTATTTTGTATTTTATTTAGAGAGAGGGTCTCACTGAGTTGCTTAGTGCCTTGACATTGCTGAGGCTGGCTTTGAACTTGTGATCCTTCTGTCTCAGCCTCCTGAGCCTCTGGATTAAACATATATACCATCACACCTGGCTGAATCCTGATTTTGAGTCTGTTCCCCCCCTCAAAAAAAAAAAAAAAGAGAAATGTGTCTTAAATTTTAGTTTTACTTTGCCAAAGAGCATGCACTCCAGGGGTTATCATGGTTATGGCCAGAGAGCTGAACACTAAGACTGACTCTGCCAGTGCCACCTTAGAGTAAGAACTGATGAACCTGGGAACTCCACTCCCACATACCTACCTGTGATGGGTTGAGTTATTTGTCCCCAACTCCTATCCCAGTTAATATATTTCTGTGCTGGTCCCCCAGTACTGCATAACGTGAACATTTTGGAAATAAAGTCCTTGCAATATACTTAGTTAAGATGAGGTAATACTGGAGTAGGATGAGCCCTTAATCCTCTATGACTATGTCCTTATAAGAGGAAAAATCTGGCTGGATATGGCAGAGCATGCCTGTAATTCCAGTAACTCAAGAGGCTGATGCAGGAGGATTGTAAGTTCAAGGTCAGCCTCAGTAACTTAGGGAGATACTCTCAAAATAAAATAAAGGCTATGGATGTAGTTCAGTGGTAGAGTGACCCTGGGTTCAATCCCCAGTATGACAAAAATAAATAATTGTACAGACATACACACAGGGAGGAGGATGACTGTGTGAACATGAAGGTAGAGATCAGTGTGATATTTCATCTATAAGACAAGAAATGCCAAAGACAGATCCTTCCTCATGGCCCTCAGAAGGAACCAATCCAGCCAACACCTAGATTTTGGGTGTCTAGTTTCCAGAACTGTGAGGCAATACATTTCTCTACCATTGTAAACCACTCAACTTGCTATATTTTCATGGTAACTCTAGCAAACTAACAGAATACCCAGAAGAATTGAAGACAGGTACTCAAATACATGTACACACAGGTTCATAGCAGCACTATTCACAATAACCAAAAAAAGGTGGAACTAGCAGGGTGCGGTGGTATATGCCTACAGTCCCAGCTACATGGGAGGATGAGGCAGGGAGGATCCCTTGAGCTTAGAGTTCTAGTCTGGCTTGGGCAACATAGCAAAACCCTTAAAAAAAAAGGTGGAAATTGCCTACGTGTTTATCAGTGAATGAGTGAATAAACAAATTGTGGTATATACTACAGTGGAATATTATTCAGCCATCAAAAGGAATGAAGTGCTGATACATGCTACAAAGTAAATGAATCTTGAAAATATGCCAAGTAAAATAAGCCAGACACAAAGGTCCCATATTATATGACTCCATTTATATGGACAGGTAAATCTAGAAACAGAAGATTGGTGGCTGCTAGGGTAAGGGGAAGAAGAGAAGAGGAGTGACTATTTAATGGATACAGGATTGCCTCTCAGATTGAAGAAAATGTTCTAGCATTAGGTAGAAGTTGTAGTTACCAATCTATGAATAAAATGAATACCATGTATTTGCTTTAAGATGTTTAAAGTATGTTAATTTTACCTCAATTTTAAAAAATGCTATCCTGAAAATGTGCAAGTCTCACATATTCATTTCAATGTGTTTTACAAGTGCATTGCCCATGTGACCAACACCCACCTCAAGAATGGAGCACTGCCACCACCCCAGGTTCCTCTTTTCTTATTAGACTATTAATTCCCAAGTGAATTGTCGTTCTGGCTTCAATACCCAAAGGTTAGTTTCTGGTTTTGAACTTGATGCAGGCAAACAATATGTGCTCTTTTGTATCTGGCTTCTGTCATTCATTGCTTTTAAGATTCATCCATCCATGTTGTTGATAAGTCAGAAGTTTGTGGTATTTGAGTGGTATTCAGTCCCAGTTTATCTGATCTCCTGTTGAGAGGCATTGGTTCAGTTTGATTTTATCAAGTTACAGAAAACATTTTGGTGGGCATATGATTGCTATTTTTTCCCATTTAGGGGGACTAGAGCACCGAGCAGTGAAATTATAGTCATAGGTGGATACACGTTAGCCTTGTAATAAATGGCTAGTGATCAGGGCTCTGAACCATTTTATAATTCACACCAGTCATGTGTCAAGCTTCAACTGCTGTACATTTTATTTAGTCTCTGCAGCCTCTTTAATTATTCTAGTGCCATCTCATTGTGGTCTTTGTGTATGTTTCATGGAATGGTATCTCCTTGTGCTTTTTAAAAACTATTTTAAATTTATTTTTTAGTAGTGGGAATTGAACCTAGGGGTGCATAGTCACTGAGCTATATTCCCAGTCCTTTTTATTTTTACTTAGAGACAGTCTTGAGAAGTTGCTGAGGCTGGCCTTGAACTTGCAATCTTCCTGCCTCAGAGTCTCAAGTTGCTAGGATTACTGGTGTGCACTACTATGCCCAGCTCTTGTAGAGTTTTTCTTAAATCAGCATTGGGCTAGTGGCTCAGTAGCAGATGTTCATGGCACAAGCAAGGCCCTAGGCTTGGTCCCCAGCACTGCAAACAAAAAACAAAAAACAAACAAAAAAAAGATTTTTACTTACAAAAATATTAAGTGTATAATCTGATGAGATTCAACAACTGTATGCAGTTATACAACCACAAACACAATGAAGATACATACTATTTCTAATGTGACCCTTTAGTCAATCTTCTTCCTCATCTATAGTCCCTGGCAACACCTGATCTGCCTTCTGTGACTATAGTTCACTTTTTCTAGAATATTATGGAATCGGAAAGTATATAGTCTTTCCTAAGAAAGTATAAGTCTTCTCTCCAGCTTCTTCTTTCAAAATGGTTTTTTGTTTTGTTTTGTTTGTTTGTTTGTTTGTTTTTGGTGCTACTGAAGATTGAATCCAGGGTGCTCTATTTCTAAGCTATGCCCCAAACCCCTTCCTCCCCCGCCCCCCAATTTTTAAGACAGTCTCACTAAGTTATTCAGACTAGCCTAGATCCTCTTTCCTCAGCCTCCTGAGTCACTGGGATTATAGGCCTGTATCACCACACCCAGCAGCAAAATTCTCAGGATTGTTCTCGCAAGAATTAATATTCTGGGGGGTCAGTGGGAGATGCTCAGGCATCAGCAGCGGGGTGGGACTGGGACCTGGGACCTAGGATCAAGTTACCGGTGACCCTGAGATCCCTGCATCTGCTCAGAGGCCCCTTCCTGTATGGCCTGCTCTGGGCTTTTTGTGCTTCAGATGCCAGGGCTGAGCAGCCTGGGGCCAATGTCCCCCATCCCGGCAGCCTGGGCTTCGATAAGAGCATGGTACATGAACAAGAGCATATCATGGAGCATCTGGAAGGTGTCATCAACAAACCATAGGTGGAGATGTCCCCACAAGAACTGCAGCTCCATTATTTCAAAATACACGATTATGATGGAAATAATTTACTTGATGGCTTAGAACTCTCTAGAGCCATCATGTCCATATGGAGGAAGAGAGTGAACAGGTGCCACTAATGAGAAAAGAACTGATTTACATAATAGATGGTGTCTTGAGAGATGACAAGAACAATGATGGATACATTGACTATGCTGAATTTGCAAAATCACTGCAATAAACATTATTTGGCTATCTCCAAGTTATATTCAAATGTGACCTATCATAATGTGATTGAATACTTTTGGTAATACAAAATAACTCATTTTTAACTACTGCTGCAGCATTTTGGTAAAAACTTGTACACTGGGGTGAAAAAGAGAAATAAAGAAGAGAAATGGGACATTTTGTGGTCCCTCAGTGCTGTTAAATCTCTCAATGGACAAGAGCTTGATGAAAGAATCCTCTTAAGGATATGGAATAACTGGAGCTGAGCACTCAGGAACTTAACTGTAGGATAATGCTCTTGATCTTAATCCATGCTACCTGAAAAGTAAGACAATAAGCTTTGCCAAGTGGACACACTTTCAGGGACAGTGAAGGGATTGAGTGAATGCCACATTTCCCCTGGTGGGATCCATCTCTTCAGATAAACGAGGTCAGTATTCTCTAAAGTTCCTCTGGCCTACATGATCACTTGCTCTGGGTAAGTGGCTATTTGTTAGGCCGTATCAAAGCCACAACAAGAAGAATATCAGATATTGAGTTCAGATGGCTACAGAGGCAAGGATTCTGTATCCTCTCATGTTCTGGAAATTACAGACCACTGGCCTAAGCAATTAACCTTTTCAGATTTTCAATATTTTATACAACTACTGCCACACCTTTATACTTTCTTTTCTGTCATCTTCAACTTGAGAGGAACCTTAATTTAAAGGTGCTCTCTAATCAATAGCAAATATTTTAGCCGTCTTAATATTTGTATTTCACTCGTTTCCAGGGTTTCCTTTTTGCAATTTTGGGACTATTTGGAATGTAAGGACTTGGTATAGCAGATTTAAACTATTGGCTGGCCTCGCCTAGGTGGGAAGTTAAAAGATCATTCATCAAACCCAGTGATTAACCCGATCCAAGTTCTGTTTCAAAGGAATGTTGTTTAAATTCCCTCTTCTAGCCTGAATGGATGAATTCTTAAATTTCAGGAAATATTAGAAAAGGAAAATCTCAGTATTTGAAAGTGAGAAGCAGCTGCAGACTGTAATTTGGTTTGTTGGATGTGGTAGACATGCTGTGATGGAAAACCCAAAATGATGGTTGAATGGGGGAAAGAAAACACATAAAAATGTGCTATAAGATGTATACAGGCTTATTTTCTTTATTAAGGTATTCTTCTAAGAAAACTTATTTGTAAAAATGATTTCCTGTGTCAAGTATTTGTGCAATCAGAGCTGACTTGTAAACTATTCTTGTAATATCCCATTATTCTGAAAGATGTATATAATGAATTCTGAATATATGACCAATAAAACTGATGGGACAAAAAAAATATACTCCTTTTTTAATGTATTTAAGTAGTATTCCATTGAACAGATGTATCACAGTGTGTTTATCAAATTGCTACACACCTAGTTTGTTTCCAAGTTCTGTTACTGTGAATAAAGCTGCTAGGCACATTTGCTTGCAGGAAGGGAATTACTAGGTCATATATTAAGGTTGTTTCATTTTGTAAGAAACTTATCAGGCTGTTTTTCATTTCACACCTGCACCAGCAATAAATACAAGTTCCAGTTATGCCAATCCCGACACCTGGTATTTTTGGGTTATTTATATATTGCCATTTTGGTGTTCAAGTGGTATCTCATCTCTCTTTTTTTTTGGTAGCGGAACTGGGGATTGAACACAGGGGCTCACACATGATAGGCAAGCATTCTACTACTGAGCTACAACTCCAGTGGCCCCACCTTTTGGTCTTAATTGCACCTCTCTGATTAATAAGCACTCTGAATTTTCTAAGCTAATTATTCTAAATCCTAACTTTTATCTCCATTGGATAGAATCAAAGTACAGTTGTCTCTTGGTATCAGTGAGGGATTAATTCCAGGACCTCCCATAGATACTAAATCCCACAGAAGCTCAAGTCCTTTACATAAAACAGCATTGTGCTTGCTATGTATAACCTATGCAAATCCTGCTGTATACTTTAAAATATGTCAACTTATACCTACAATGTAAATATTATGTAGATACACTGTATGGATGAGGGGACAGACTGTTCATGTTCAGTACCAACACAGCCTGAGTACATTTTTGATCCACAGCTGGTGGAATCCATGGACACAGAACCCAAGGCAGAGAGGAGCTGCTGTGTGTTTCACCACAGTTTAGTAATAGTAACATCCTATTATAACAGTATTATATTGCTATTGCATGCTGTTAATATTACTTTAGGGAAGTTTTTCATTGTTTGTAGTATGGGGGGTTGGACCCAGGTATACTCTACCCTGAACTACATCCCCAGACCTTTTCTATTTTTTGAGAAAGGGTCACCTAGTTGCCTAGTCTGGCCTCTAACTTGCAATCCTCCTTCCTCAGTCTCCTGAATTGCTGGATTACTAGGCATGTGCCATGCCAGTCTGGAAGAAATATTTTTGGTGTGTTTTAGTACCTATTTAAATCTGCACTATATATGTGTGAGGCACTTTTTAGATGCTTTACATCCAATTTAATCTTTTTTCCCCCAAATTTAATCCTTATAACTACCTATGAGTTAGACTTTAGTATTCTAGTTTACTAATGGAAAGCTAAATAGCTTTTCAAGTTTTTCTTAGCTTTTGCTGGCAGTCCTTTATGAAATTTAAAGTAAACATGGGTTTAAAAAAACACCACCCTGGTTCCTGAGCCTTCTGGGGTTTTCACTCATGTAAGAAATCTGCTAGACTAAAGCAAGAGTCCTTGCAGCTTTCATTGATCCAAAGCTGGTGAAGGAGCAAGTCAATCAAGCCGGTATAGATCCCTGGGTCCTGTGAGTATACAAACTTTGCCACAGGGGGTTGTCAGAGGGTCTGGATTTGGGATTTCAAGTGGTAAGATGAGCTCTTTTAGCCACACATGAAAACTATCAATGTTGCCAAGTCCCAAAGTAGATGGTGAATTAGAACAGTAGTCAGAAGGGAACCTTTAAGGGCAAATCAAGAGGAAGCAAGGAGGGGCACTCCCTGCTGCACTTGGGGATGGCCTTTCTTGAATAATTAATTCAACTGAGGGAGGTAGGTAGGAAGGTCCCTGTGCCCAGACATCAGCCCCCACCACTATTGGAGTGCCCCAGAGGCCATCAGGCATGTCCTCTCATTACTGTAATGGGAAGGCCAAATATCCTGACATCATGAGAATGTACCTACATTGACAACTGTCCCTTGGTATAGCTGCTAGGTCTGTGCATCAGTCCTTTGGTTCCTGCTCCAGTCAAGCTCCCTATCTTCTGTTCCCTGTGGATGCCTGGTGTTCCTCCTTTCCAGACACCAGGCACCCTCTTTTCCCTTGCACTTTTCTTAGGATAATCAAGTCAATTTACATCTCTATTTTTTTTGTACCATGGATTGAACCCAGGAGTGTGCAACCACTGAGTCGCATCCCCAGCTATGGGGATAAGTTTTTTTTGTTCTGAGACAGGGTCTTGCTAAGTTGCTTAACTTAGCAAGTTGCTAAATTGCTGCAGCTGGCTTGAACTTGTGATCCTCCTGCCTTAGCCTCCCAAGCATCTGGGATTATAAGTGTGTGCCTGTGCCCAGTGCACATCTGTATTTCCAATGCTTAATGTGCTCCCTTTCCCAGGAAATGTGTACCCTGTGAAATATTTAAGCAAAGATACAAATCTCTATTACAGCAATAATGTATTAGTAGAAGCAATAACAAAGATTGTGTTTCTTGTTGCACTAAGGTAAATGGGGGGTGATAAGTTATCGAGACCCTGTTCTGGCCTCTGCACTTCTATTTTTGTAGTTCTGGGGATTGAACCCAGGGCCTCACACAAGCTAGGGAAGCATGCTTTTGGACTGCTAAAATATCTGTAGCCACTCTGCTTCCTTCAATGAAAAAGTTTTAAATTTCTTGCCAAGAACAGGGCTTGGTAAGCAAAAAGAAGGAGCGATCTCTCTACCTGCTTTAATGTTTGGCTTGTTTTCACACCATGCAATGTAGGTATCATAATCATATTATAAAGAAACAAAACTTTGAAATATTAGATGGTATGCCCAAGGTCAGAACTGGGACTCAGTTGCAGAACTGGGACTCAGGGCCTAGGGCAGCTTATGAGGTCCATGCTACTTACCTTATTAGTGTTCAATCTAAGGAATCTAGTTTCTAATCAACCCTGAGTGGACTTGAAGCAAAAAGGAATAGTGACCACGCTCTCCACCCCAATCCTAAATCCTTACTCCAGTGCTCCAGAAATACCCTGTATTTCATTCCCTGCCTCCAAAGCACACACTCACCTACTTCCACACAGAGATTGGGTAAGTTATCAACTTGGGAAACCAGTTGATATATTCTGACAAACATTTATTCTATTATACTCCCAAATTCAAATTTCCAAACAGAGAACTACTTCTCAAAAACTTCCTTATTTAGTTGAATACTATATATTCAGGGTTAAACTAGGGGTACTGATTGCATAATAAGCAAGACAACTTTCTCTCAAAAGCAAGCCCCATTCCTTTCTCCCACCCAGCAAAACATACCTATCAGATAATTAAATGTAATGAAAATTAAAAACAGAATGTATAAAAGTGTTTTAAACCACTAAGAGCATTTTATATTCATCACTCATTTCCTAAGTTCTTTCCTCCTCCCCCAATATCCATCATACTGCAATGCTGGTCCCCTCTCCAGTTATGGGGATGGAAATGGGTTGGTTGTGCTATAAAGGGGCTCTCAGAGAATAGGCCAAAGAATTGAAGTTGGTTTCTAAGGAGTCAACCAGCTCAACCTAGGCCTCTATACCTAAGCTCTTGCACCAGAGAACTGGCAGGAACAAAGCTGTTAAACAGGGGCTAGTTTTCTCTTAGGAGGGCTGCTTAGGCCCTATGTCAATCTGCACTAGAATACTGCACCCAGGGAGGACCAGAGAGAGTTAGCTTTGATTGTAAAACAAATTCACCAGGACTGCCAAGGACCTCTCTCATTGAAGCCTGACTTTGAAATCCTTATTTGTTGAGTGGCAAGTGCTGCCCAGGACATTGCCACCACACTTTTTCACAACTCTCAACACAGCCTTGGGACTGACCAGCACATCCACCTACTCTGTGGCCTTGAGCCCAATCAGGCCTCTCAGTGATTTTTCTTGGGCCCCATCCCAACTCACCACAAACTCCGGGAGCCAAGAAACATGGGTATCTCTCAAAGCTCAGAGAGGAGGGCAACTAAAGAACAGGGTGAAGTTGAGAAACTGCTGAGCTTCTGCCTGATGTGTAAAAGGCAAACCTTACATGGATTAGAGACATGGGAAAACTGGCTCTATGTATGTACTATGGCTGCTAGGAAAACTAAATAAAGGGATTGCAGGAGCAGGGGAAGAGGTGAGCAACCACTGGGAAGTGCTGGGTAAGAGAGGACCCTAGTTCAAATGCTAACAACTTTTCTGATCCACTCCCCCGTGTGCTTCCCCCAGGCTCCACATTCTACAGAGGCTCAGGTGCCTGCATATTGAGGACTGTGTGTGTAGTTCACGGGCTCAATATGTTAATACTCACGGTTCACCAAGTCCTGGGGAGGGAGGTAGACTCAGTGGAGTATGAGCTTAGTCAGAGGTCTGACTAGAAGCCCACCCTATAGTAGTGACTGCCCTGAAACCTACCTGCCAAGGTATCAGAACCTACTTGCTATAAAGAGGAACACAAGCCTTTCTTCCCCTCCTTGGGGGTATTTCCTTTGACATGTGAACTTAGATAATAGCAACTGGGGTCACCCAAGCTCCTTCACTGGTGCCACAGGAAAGCCACAAAGTTCACAGAACCTCCCACAGGATGCCAAGGGCTGAATGTCCATGAGAGAAGTCTACAAGTTTGGACAAGGAGCATGTGAGGTCAGAACAGCAGCACCCTGGTCTCCTGGCAGGGTGGGTATGTGAAAGGAGCAATGGTGGAGAAGCTCTCAAGACCAGGATGTCAGGAAATAGATTCAGTATGTCACAGCCCTCCTGACTGTCTACTGAGGAAGTCTGAAGGTTTCTGAAAGTGGCTCCTCAGAAGAGTGGGTAGGGAGTCGGGGAGGGCAGACCTGAGAAAATAAGGACATTCAGAAGAACCCCTGGATCATAAAACAAAGGATTTCTGGCCCAATTATGTTTAGCACATTTTCTTTTTCTTTTTTTGGCAGTACTGGTGATTGAACCCAGGTGCTTTATCACAAAGCTACCTCCCAGCCCTTTCTATCCTTTGAGATAGGGTGACTAAGTTGCCCAGGCTGTCCTCAAACTTGAGATTATCCTGCCTCAGCCTCCTAAGTAGCTGGGACTACAGGTGCATTTTTTTTCTCCACTTGAAGACCAAGGCCACAAACAAACCACACATGGCTCTCTGAAGACAGAAACCAAACCCTGTTTTATAAGGCTGCTTGGCTGTCACCCACTTCTCTACGGAGATAGGAGGTGCCAGTCAGGCAGACAGGTGACAGAGGGTGAACCTTCCTCACCTTTTCCCCATCACCACCACCCCGTCAGCCCTCCAGATACCCATCTCTGCAATACAACCACTTCAAAAAAATACTCTGATGAGGGGCAATGTGGAAGGGTAGCAGGGGTCAGGCGGGTCAGCAGGATGGTTCCCATGAGGTAGCTGACACGGGTGCTCCTGGGCAGTGGCTGTGAAGGACAGTCATGGGCTCACAGCAGGCAGGAGGGAGTCACTGATTGACTGGGAAGTGGAGGAAACAGAAAGTCTGGAAGTCCGCCCAGAGTACTTGATCACAGGTAACTTCTGGGAAGGGCCGGGCTCTGTGCTGGTGATCTCACTCTCCTTTAAGCAGATGGGTTTCCTGGGGAAAGGGGGAAGGCCAACTTGAGTCTTCTTGGGCTTGGGTATGGTCCCGTCATCAGATGAAAATAGGTTTCCCTTGGAGGAGCTGTTCTTTCTGAAGGAAACAGGTGTGGAAAGATGGCTGAGACACTGTGCAGCAGAGACTTACTTTTGAATTGCCTTCCAGATATGGGCCAGGCACTCACAACATTATGTACTATAGATCATTAATTACATGGATATATTAATAACCATAAAATATATTTTATTTACTTGAAGGCTTGAGAGCTCAGTGCAAGTGTGAATGTGAGTGAGTGGAGCAGAGCCAAGTACTTTAATTTTGCGCTCCAGCTCACTTTTGCTGGGCATCCTAAGAGCCACCGGGAACAGGATATTGTGGCTACATATACGACATTCCTATCAATCCCCAGATAGAGAATGCTCAGTCTAGGAAAAGAGGAAGAAAGAAAGCTCCCCAAACTCTGTTAGCCCTTCCTTTGCTGAAGCCACACTCACCCCAGCTTGCCAGGCTCTGGTCTGTAGAAGGCACTGAGCACTCCATCACCCTTTGGGGCAGTCACAAGTGATGTCGGCAGAGACCACTAAGAACAAAGGAAGCAACAGGCAAAAAGGGTGTCAGGCAGAGGTCAGGCAGGAGTGTCGGGGGGCCAAAGACTCTTTCTGCAGCTCTCCCATTCCCTGACCCTGAGCCCATGGGGTAAAAGTTTTGGCTCTCTATTTAGTGAGAAAAAAGTTTGAGGCCTGCAGAGCACTTTTTTGATCCTTGAAAGAAAGGAGTCCAGACAATCCTAAAGCCAATCATTTTTTTTTCAAAGGTAAGGGTCATGAGATACAGAAGCAGGGCCTAGGGGTAGGGTACATATAGCCCAACCTATGCTATACTTTCTTTTTTGATGGTATCAGGAAGTAAACAGGCGCTCACACACTGAGCAACATCCCAGCCCTTTTTATTTTTTATCTTAAGACATGGCCCTGGGGCTGGGGATGTGGCTCAAGCGGTAGCACGCTCGCCTGGCATGCGTGCGGCCCAGGTTCGATCCTCAGCACCACATACAAACAAAGATGTTGTGTCCGCCAAATACTAAAAAATAAATACTAAAAAAAAAAAATTCTCTCTCTCTACCTCTATCTCTCTCACTCTCTCTTAAAAAAAAAAAAAGACATGGCCTCACTAAGTTGCTGAGGCTGGTCTCAAAGTTGAACTCCTTCTGCCAGCCTCTCAAGTTTCTGAGCTTTCAGGCATGTGCCACCACACCCAGCCCATGCAGTACTTTTAATGCAGAAGAGGGTGGGCCCTGAAAAAGAGCTGTTTTCCCGCCCTGGCATAACTCACCAGTGGAACAGAATCAGAGATGACTCCTGTGTGGAACCCTTTGTAGCACCAACTCCGAAGCAGATCTACTCCTAGGGCAAGATGAATGGGGTTTGGAACTTAGTAGGGAGGAACCAATTGGCCCATTTTTTCCAGAGAAGTCCATTTCTTGGGTTAATAAGATCTAATCTCTCACTAAATGTAGCCTCCTGTGGGCAGGAAGGGCACATCACCTTTGAGCTTGTTGCCATGGTACTTCTGCTCCCACTGGGTGGTGAGAATGTTGAAATATCGTGGCTGCTCAAAAAAGCGGAGATAGCGAGAAGAGATCCGAGAAGGAAAAATTCGTTCAAATTGACCACGACGAGAAAACTCATCCTCCATCTCAACTAGAATCCGAACATCATCTGGTGTCAGGACATCCAGCACGGATGCATAGAAGTCCTATGGTCCAAGGAACAGGGAAGAAGAGGGTGTGGCAGATAGTGTGAGCCAGAGGCAGAGAATCAAGAAGCTGGAGACAAGAAACACAGTCTGGGGTCCAGGTGTTCCAGAACCCTCAAAGGACCACTAGCTTTGCCTGGTGAGCCAGCTCTGTACCTCATTGGTTTCTAAGACCACTCAACTTAGCTAATGGAGGAAAATGCTCTTGACTGGGATTGGAGGAGCTGCTGGGGCTCTGAGATTAATTGGTTTGTTAGATGGAGTTGCAGTCAGGGTCCAATAACCAGGACCTGGCACCAGCATTGTGCCTGCTACTCTGTCATCTGGCTCCCATATCTGCTTTGAGAAGACCAAGCCTCCCAGGCTCTTGCTGTACTCCCCAGGGAAAGACACCATGTGAGTGAAGGTCTACAGCTCTGACAAGTGAGCCAAGAGCACTGGCTCTTAAAAATGTGGCAGAGACTATCAGCTCTCCCCCAGAATAAGCAATGTGCCAACATACCTCTACACGTCACAGGATCCCAGACCTCGGTTAAGAACCCTTGCTTTAGAGAGAAGGATAGCTGGTTTCCCAAATGTTTGGTCAAAGGAGCTTTCTGCTGAGACAGGGGAAAACCAATCTCCTACCTGGTCAGGAATTTTCTGGGTCAAATAATAGGCTTTCTTCATCTTCTGTGCTGTAAAATGCTCTGGTGCCATTCGACATTTGTCCCTGGGAGAGCTGGGCAGGCTAAGACAGGGGATAGACAGAAAGCAAAGGAAGAGTCAGCAGCATCCCTCCTGAGGAATTCAGAGAGGTCCAGCCCAGGAAGACACACTTCCTAGGAGAAGACAAAGACGTTGAAAGATGTTTATCACTTGAGTGGATCACACTAAAATGCAATCCACTCAGGCAGCCTGTCTGAAAGTCATCCAGAACCATGTACCATGGAAGAACTGAAATAGCACAAGATATCCTCTCCTGAATTTAAGAAAATAAATAAAAAAGGAGTAAGCCTGATTGCTGTACACTTTGGCTTAGTTTAATTTAGTGAAAACTTACCACACACCTACTGGCTGTATGATCCTGGGCAAATAACTAAACCCCCCTGCCCTGTTTCATCATCCATGTTACTATGATCACCGTTGAGAAAGATGATGATGACTGAAAAGCAGTCCTGCCTCCAAGGAGCTTACAGTATGGCAACTGGAACAAGTTAAATGACAAATAACCACAGGACAGAGCCAAGGATAAGTCAACAAGGTATAGAGTAGAGAAAGCAAATTTTCTAACCAGGCAAATCAGGATTTTATTTCTATTCGCTACAACTGTCTAGCTGAATGACCCTGGATGGGTTGCTTAATCCTAGGGATCTTCAGTTTCTTCTTCTGTAAACTGTGATACTGATAGTAACCTTTAGGGTTGTGAGAACGTTAAAGATGTTTCCTTACACAGCAGAGGCATTTAATAAACATAAGAGTAGCCCAGTGCTTTGAGGTATACCCTCACTAAGCCCACACTAAGCTGGCTTCATGAAGATGTTGTCTGCAGCGAGGCTCTGGTGGGTGGGGGTCTGGCTAAGGAGATTTCAGAAGGAAGATACCCCATGAGCGGAGGAAAGACATCAAGGGGAACAGCAAGAAGCAATGAACTTTTCAGAGAACGAGATTGGTCTAACTGGTCCTCAGGGATCCTCCCAACCTTGAGCTTCTGTGAGTGATCTTGTCTGTCAGAGCACAGGAGCCAGGAAGAGGAGTAGAGAGAAATGCACCCAGGAAAAGGAGGCAGGGGCCTCGAATGTCCAGATAAGGAGTTAACTTGGTTCCCAGGCCGTGTGGAGATTCCTGAGCAGGAGAGCAAAATAACCAAACTTACTTTTAGGGATACTAATGGCAGGGATGTGCAGATGGATAGGAGGGGCAGACTGAGCCGCAAGGGATACAAAGCAAAAGCAAAAGAAAGGATCCAGAATCTATTCCTTCCCAGAATCACAATGAGCTATTCATGCAGCCAGCTAAGCCTCAGGGAAATAAGGAGGCTGACCTGGTGCTGGAGCCACTGGAGCTGCTGGGGCTGCTGGAGTTGGAAATATCCTCTGCATTGGGCAGAACAAAACCAGCCAGATTCAGAAGGTCTCGGATCATCTGGCCTTTGATGTTGATGTCCAGCTGAGAGTTGGAGTGGAGGCTTTGGGAAAAGATGTACACTGTGGTCAAAGCAGCACTTCAAATAGTTTCTGATTCTATGTCCAAGTCAGGGCTAGCCCCATTTGGCTTTCCTGGGACAAAGCTCAAGCATCATCACAAAAGTCTCTTATACCAAGACAGTGAATAATTTGCCCAGCTGTTAAACCTGCCCATGACCTTAGTTTGCAAGAGGAAAACAAATAGTAGGGATTAACTTGAAAAGAGCAACTTTTTTTTTTTAATTTCTTACATACATGACAATAGTGGAATGCATTACAATCATAATTATCCATTTACAACACCATTTTTCGTAATTCTGTATGTAAAGTATGTTCATGCAAAACTATGCCATTATACATGTGCTCTTATTATTTTTTTGCATTACAATTCTTTTTTTTTTCTTTTTTTTTTTTTGAGAGAGAGAGAGAGGAGAGAGAGAGGAGAGAGAGAGAGAGAGACAGAGATTTTTTTTTAATATTTATTTTTTAGTTTTCGGCGGACACAACATCTTTGTTTGTATGTGGTGCTGAGGATCGAACCTGGGCGGCACACATGCCAGGCGAGTGCGCTACCGCTTGAGCTACATCCCCAGCCCTACAATTCTTAATTCACCTTTATACCACAATTTATCATATCTCTGATGAAAAGAACAACTTTTAAAAACCCTCTACATTCTTGAAGAACCTTGAGATAATGGCAAAGAGTAAGTGAACGAGCAAACACAAACCATGAAGGTTAAACACAAATTCTAGGGAAGGAACTATGAACTATCTTCCCAAAACTGACAAGACTAGAGTGACAAAAGAATTCTTAGGATACGGGATCAATTCTATTGTGGGTATATTGAAAATACACTCTACCTTGGGGAAATATTAACTTCCAGGACCCAGGGCTTGAGGTTCTCATCTAACATGATGTCAAAACCGAAGAGTTCGTGGCAGCTGTAAGGATGTCGCACATATAGCTTGAGCAGGTTGGTCACATAGGGCTCTGATCTGGATACAGGAATAAAGAAGTATTCAGTCCAAAAGCCAAATGCCAAATGCCAAATGATTTCTCTGATTTAAGGATGCTGATCCATAATATGCTGCGGGGTGGGGATTAAATGAACTCTAGATAGGGCAAAGGGGAAAAGGGGAGGGAGGGGTAGGGAGGGAGCATAAAGGTAGGAAAAACAATGGAATGTGATGGTCATCATTATCCTAAGTACATGTATGAAGACATGAAGGATGTGACCCTACTTTGTGTATAAACAGAGATATGAAAAATTGTGTAATATAAATTGTAATGCATCCTGTTGTCATATATAACAAATTAAAATTTAAAAAAAGGAATAAAAAGCACCCTCCACCCAAAAGAAAGTCAAGTATTCAGTCCAGCTCCTCCCAAAGGTCCACACCCAAAGCTGTCCTGCCAATGGAGTGGCCCAGAGTTAGGCAGACAGAAGCCACCCAGGAAAAGTGGCTCAAGAGATTTGTGTGATCGGGGTCAGCTCCTGGGGTACACAGTTCAGCAAATGAGCAAAATTTAACTCTATCTAATCCTTACCATTCCCTGTCCTCAGAACAGAACCACAGCATGGTCAAAGCCCAGAGGATAGCAGCATAAGGCCAAAAAGAAATCAGGGGAGCTCCCCAGCAGCAGGCTCCACAGAGTGGCAATATAACTCACGAGATGATGGTTTTGACAACGACGTCCTTTATCTTTTCCCAGATGGCATCGCTATTAACTCCCTTCTGGCTCAGATAGTTCCACAAAGCCTTCAGTGCCCTGCATGGGGAGGAAAAGGGAGTATTTAGTGTTATATTCAAGAAATAAATGACAATGAAATGAGAAAAAACAGGGAATAAAAGACCTAATGGTATTTTTCTTCATCTCTTCCTTTGACATTCAGAATTAAGAGATGAACCTGACAACAAACAGATCAACTCTGAATTTACAAGTGCTTATGTAATCTTCAGTTGCTATAATACTCCCCTACCACCAGGCCCCTGGACCTACCAAGCCCCAGGACCCTCACACCCTCTAGGACTACATTTGACTGGGACACTCTGCATTCAGTACCATTTGTGGCCCTGGCAGGCTGTTTCGTCTGCATTGGCTTGGTACTCAGTATTCTTTTTATTGACACTATAGTTGGTCAGGTGCATGAACTTGTTACCAAGGCTCTTCATGGAAGGGGAATACCTGGAGACAAGAAGAAAGGCAGAGGTAAGACAGCGAGCAGAGAGTGAACCAAATATTCCCAAATCCTGAGGAGGTGAAGGACAAGTACACAGATCTTTTCAGATCAACAAGGACCAGAGAACTTTAACTGTCAGCAATCATCTCCTTTGTCCCACCTCAGCTGCAAATTCAGCGAAGTAGAGAACCTCATTTCCCATTCCCTCCTGCTTCCCCCACTAAGAAATATCACTAAATCATGTTATTTTCTGTTTGGCATCCTCCAGTTTTCCTCCCTCTGAGGAAAATAAGTCCCCCAAATTGTGAGGCAACACTTCACACTCTAACATACTTGCAACTGGCAAAGCGGACAAGTCCATCTGAAAAGAGGTAAATCCGTAGAGGATCGTAGGAAGTGACATAAACATAGATCCGCAGATCAAACTTGCTGCCACTGATGAGGTAGGGTTTGTGTAGATACCTGTGTAGAGGAAAGGCAGCTCCACATTCAGCCAGTGGGGCTTGATGGGCAGCTGTGTTAGGGCAAAAGCCAGTTCAAGGTCCCAAGATAAAGACACTAAAACAGTTGACTAAGGAAAGTTTCTGCAAGGGAGGACAAGAGGCCGAAGAACATTGTAAGAGAGAAACCTGGAGGTCAAGGAGATAGGAAGATGGGGAGAGGAATGTGAGCTACAGGTGGGCTCACCTCTGTACCAGGAGGGGCCTGCGCTTGGGTAGTTGACTCCACTTGTGAATGACCTGGATGCCAATGCCTCGAGCTGATGCTGGCTAGAGAGAAACAGAAGGGAGACAAAATTTGCTCCAGGCACAAAACTATGTTGTTCCCACTCTCAGACCACCATTTGTTGCCCACAGTGACCCACTCACTGGCTTCACAATCCACTTTTGGCGGCTGTTGCTCTCCCAGGCTTTGCGCAGGAGCTTGGAATCCTGGGGCAGGATAAAGGACTGGGGGAAGAAACTGAACTCCTTCTTGCCAAAGCGGCTCTGCATTCGAGACAGGTTCCGCCACAGTCGGTCCTTCCTTCCAATCTGGAAAGAACCTGGGAAGTGGTTTAGCTACAGAAGGGACCAAAAGTGAGAGCAAGGAAAGGTAAAGGTGAGACCACAAAGATGACAAGCCCCACTAGGCCATTCCAACTTCCTTAGCAACAGTGCATGCTCCTATTCCATATCACTGTCATTGCTTTATGGTTTTTACATATACAACACTGAGCACTCACCAAAAGACATGTGAAACACAATTTTGATTAAGATAGGCATGATATCACCTTGAATGCAAATAAAAAGTGGTTGAAACTTTTTCCACAACAGCCTATGGAACAAGGACAGGAAAACACCTGGCCTTTAGTAAATCTGGACATAAGGGACTCATTTGGTCCAACATGAGACCAGAAGTCCTCTTTAGACATACTTAGCTTGGAGCAATGGAGGCGATGTACAATGGTTATTGGGGAAACATTATCACCTGAAAACAAACAATACATCTCAAGATACATTAGAGGAAAAAGTATTTTTGAGAGGTGGCAACTGGCCAAGACACTGCAACAGAACTGGAGTTGTGTATGGTCTGCTAGGGTCTCACCCTGTACCCCTCCTGAACTCCTCTCTATAAACCTTCCTCATATCTCTGCAGTTACCCTCCTCTCTCCACATCCACTCTCACTATTCCCAATACCACCCTCCTCTTGGCCTAGTCCAAAGTCCAGGGAAACAGCTCCTCAGAAAGCACTCCTACCTTCTGATGCTCTCGAATGGATCGGAAACTAGCAGACTTCATGTGGTGACCCCAGCAGCCCAGCCAGTCATCATTTCCTGAAGAGGGCAATTGGGGAGTCAATCCTGCTGGCAGCTCTGTCCCTGAGACAGAGGCCCCAGAAAAACCACTGAGCCTGGGCACAGCTCCCTGACTAGGTTTCCAAGAGTTGCCATGGAACTGTCCTACATGAGGCTCTGGGGCTAGGGACAGAACAATGATGTTCCGTCTCCCAACCCTGAACAACAGAGGGCTTAGCTATGCCACCACTATGAGGTTGGCAGCTTCAAGACAGGGTCTCCAGCTGTGCCCAAGGGGAATCCAGAGCTCTCCTCCTACCCAAAGCCCAACTAGTGGGACAAAGAGGACAGGCCCACAGTAAGGCGAGTGACTCACTCTTGCTGACTTTAAAGTGTGACCGTCCAATAGTCTGCTTGACAATGTTGGGAGTCACTGTGCTCATCTTCCACCGGAGCAGCTTCCTTTGCTCCCAAGGGAGTTTCTCCACTGGGGGAAAGGCACAGGGTGGGAGGTGGGGCAGGAGCAAGAAGAGCAGGAGAATTGTTTGGTGAGAAGATAAAAAAGACACTGGTGTCCATCCTTTCTTGGGTAGGCAAGTCCCTATGAATTGTTCCAAATCAGGTTCAAAAGAGCACACTTTGGGGAAAAAGAAGGACTGGGTGGGAATGAGAAGCAAAAAAAAAGGATGAGACTGAAAGAGGAAAGAAACAAGGTTAGAGGGTAGGTGCTAAGTCTAAGAATATGAGGCTGAAAAGGAACAGCTAAAGGACAGGCAAGAAAATATCCCCACCCTGGACCTATAACCAGGTGAGATCCGAGCACAGTGTGGTAACCACTGTGACAGCCATTCCGGAAGCCCCTTCCCACCTTTATCACCACCTCCTGGGGCTCTCCTGGACTTTGTCACTTGGCCATATTTACCTCTTTCATCTCGAGTGCCAAAATAGATGGTAGGAGGCACATTAGGGAAGAGACTGTAGATAAGGGCTGGTCGGACAACTTTCTCATGAATGGAAGGTTTGGTAAGAAGCTCCGCACAGTTCCTAAGATAAAAAACAAACGTGGCAAGTAAGGAAAAGCAACAGCCCTGAGGTGTCATAGTATTAAGATAGAATGATTCTCCCCCTACCCCACCTGTACTGGGGATCTAGCCCAGGGGTACTTAACCACTCAGCCACTTCCCCAGCCCTTTTAATATTTTATTTTGAGAAAGGGTCTCGCTAAATTACTTAGGGCCTTGCTAAGTTGCTGAGGCTGGCCTTGAACTTGTAATCCTCCTGCCCCAGCCTCCAAAGCCACTAGGAGTATAGGAATGTACCACTGCACCTAGCTAGATATAATGATTCTGAAAAGACAAGTGTTCAATAATTATTTTGCAAATATGAATCCATAAGATGCTAGAGCTATCCTACATACAGCCACACCATTAAAAGTTACCTAGAGACAAGATTTTCCACTTCATTAGATAATACATCTCCAAAACTTCCTGTGACAAGCCACAGGCTGGGAATATCCTTGTAGTTCTCAAAGAGGGAATGAGTCTGACGGGACACAAATAGAAAACTGCCACACTAAGATAAAGAGCTAGATGAGGAGAAAAAAAGAACAATATGGATAATCAAAAGAAGAAAACAATAAAAGATCAAAGAAGAGGTATAAAGCCAGGCATGGTGGCACACACCTGTAATTCCAGTGGCTTAGGAGGCCAAGGCAGGAGGATCATAAGTTCAAAGCCAGCCTCAGCAACTTAGGCAGACTGTAAGCCACTTAGTGAGACCTTGTCTCAAAATAAAATAAAACAAGTGCTGGGGATGTGGCTCAGTGGCAGAGTACACCTGGGTTCAATATCCAGTAAATCCCCTTCCCCCCAAAAGAAGAGATATAGAAATTTTTAAAAAGAAAAAGGGGAAAAAGCAACAGGAAGAAAAGAAACAATGATACTTGTAACTTTTTGTATTAGGTTCATATGAAGGCACAGATAGCTTATGAAACTGGACTTTCACATGACAGAGCCATACAGTTCTAGATCTCATAGACGCATAAGCCAGGATGCGGGGCCAGCAGACCATGGCGATGTTTACTGTTGTTCTAGCAATGGCTCAGCCAGAGCTAACTCAAAGGTAGTCAAAATAGTGAACAGTTCAACCATCTATCAGTACAAGCCAACTGGCACAGACCACAAGAATGGAAAGAACAGTCATTCCCCTCTACACTGAGCTGATATGATCCACAAATATTAAAAAATTTGATTTTTATCTTATAAAAAGCCACTTTTGGGCTGGGAGTATAGCTCAGTGGTAGAGTGCTTGCCTATCACACAAGTTCCTGGTTCTGATTCCCAGCACTGAAAAAACTATTAAAAAAAAAGTCACTTTACCTATTATCATTTTCAGTATGGTAGGAATAAGTATTATACATAAAATACTTCAACGTTCCAGATTTTAATGGATTTTTATTTTATTGGGTCAAATTAAATACTAACTCCTAGGTAAATAATTCCAATGAATTCACTCTATTCCTCATTTCCCAAAGATTTTCCTTCAAAGACTGAGCATCAGAATTTAAGATTGTTGAAAATCAAGAGGAATGAGTAAAGATACAGAAAAAAAAACAGGAATATAAAAGATAGTCACCCTAGAATAGTTCTGACAGTTTCCTAAAAAACTAAACATGCAACTATCATATGACCAAAACTGAACTCCCAAGTATTTATTTATGTTCACATAAAAATATGTACATTACAGAAAAAGAAAAAGGAAAAAATCTACATGATTGTTCACAGCAGCTTTATTCACAATAATAGCCAAAAGCTGGAAACAACCCAAATTTTCTTCCAACAGGTGGATGTTTAAAAACAAAACAAAATCTGTGGTATATCTATCTATATCATGGAATACTACTCAGCAACAGCAGCAAAAAATGAACTACTAATACATGCAATGACCTGGATTCAACTCTAAAGAACTTGCTAAGTGAAGAAAAGCCAATCCCAAAAGGTTAGATACTGATATCACTCCATTTGTGTAACATTCTTGAAATAACAAAATTACAGGAATGGAAACTAGTGAGTTAAGGGCAAGGGGATGAGAGTATAGGTGTCACTTAAGGGAATCAGGAGGGATTCTTGCAGTGATAGAAATATTCTGTACCTTGCCCCTGTCGATGTTAACTTCCTTCAATAATAATATTATGCTACGTCTTGCTGTTGTTTTGCAACAAGTTACAACATGAGAGAAACTGGGTAAACAAAGGATCTTTCTGTTAATTTCTTACAACTGCATATGAGTCTACAATTACCTTAACTTTAAAAGTTTAATTAAAACCAAAGAGGAGAAAGCCTTTGTTAGCTGCCTCTCAAGAGTACTGGCTTACCCCCAAGACACCTGACTTTTTGTCTAGGAAGGCTACAACCTATGATCTTGAAAGACTAACTTCTCTGGTCCTAAATTTTTTCATTGGACTTGATGACTGCCATCTCTAAAATTACATGATTCTAGGGTTAGGGGGGGCAACAGCAGGAAATGTAATAAAGCTATTGGTGGGAAGTGGGAGGATGAGTTAAGACGAGGAATTTGGGGCCAGTCTGGAAACACAGCAAGACCCCTTCTCAAAAAAGTCAACCATGGACTGGGGTTGCGGCTCAGTGGTAGAGCACTTGCCTGGCATGTGTGAGCCTGGATTCGATCCTTAGCACCACAAATAAATAAACAAAGTGAAAAATCCACTGGCAACTAAAAAAAAAGAGTCAAACAACCAACTAATGTGGAGGGGTACAGGGAACCACTGTGTAGAAAAATAAAGGCAGTGATCTTTCCACTTTTTCAATAATAGTCAAATGTGCTATAATAAATGTAAAAATGTTTGATAAAAGAGGAAAAAGTTAAGATTTTTTGGCAATCCAAAAGCATTTCTCATTTTAATTATCTTTATTTTCTTTTTTGGTACTGGGATTGAATGCAAGGGCACTTTACTATTAAGCTATATCACTAGTTCTTTGTTTTTTTAATATAGTTATTTTTTATTTTGAGACAGGGTCTTGCTAAATTGCTGCAGGTCTTGAATTTCTGATCCTACTTCAGCCTACCAAATCACCGTGGTTACAGACATGCACCACAGTGGTTTGGAATCCATCAATCTTCATTTTCTTGAAAACCCTGTTTAAAGCCTCATATTGCTAGGAAGATGTGTAAAATTTGTAGAAATTAATGAATGAACTAAATAATTAACACACATCTTATGTGAATTTATTTCTTTTTTTCCCATGGTGCTGGGGACTGAACCCAGGTCCTCCCTCACACTTGCATGTGCTCTCCCTTTGAACTATATTACCAGACCATGAATTTTATTTTACATATCAGACGTCTAGATAAAGGGTTGTGTAGCTGTCCTGAAGCAGGCCTACAAATAAACACAAATCATTCTTAAGTATGAAAAAGGACACCAAACCAATTCCAAGCTATATATTCTTCTCTTATGGAGAATGGAGTTACTTAATTTATTTATAACTAGGAGTTCTGCTTTTCTGAGAGGAGGATGTGTTAAGTCAGAAGAAACAATTCACAGATCAGACTCAAGTATCTGTGACAGAACTTCTGTCCACCTTCAGAGAAAGTCCCAATTCGCTCTCTCCCACTTTCCAGACAGCTCTGCCTCACTGGGCTGTCTTGGGGCTCTACAGGCGGTACAGCTGCTGCCATAGCATCATGGAGACACACCTAACCTTGCCCATATTCACCACAGTGTGGAAAGCTTTCTCTCAAGTCTCCCTAAGGTAAGCTGACACAAAGAAAAGCAACCAGAGCAGATATTCCACGTGTTGGACAAGCCTTGACATATATGGCTAGATTTTAATTAGAAATTAGAATAAACATTTTGAACTAAAAATAATACAATAATATTCTATATTTGTATTTTCAGTAGAAATTTTTTAAAAGAAAAAGATTATGTTTAGTACATTTGGGGGTTCTTTTTTAATACTTAACAAAAAATATGCCAGGTATGGTGGCACACACCTGTAATCCCAAAGCCTTGAGAGGCTGAGGCAGGAGAATTGCAAGTTCAAGGCCAGCCTCAGCAACTAAGCAAGGCCCTAAGCAACTTACCAAGACCCTGTCTCAAAAATAAAAGAGGCAGGGTGGCTGGGTATGTACCTCAGTGGTAAAACACCCCAGGGTTTAATCCCTCGTACCAAAACACATATGTGTGTGTGGGGGGGGTTTGTATCGATTATATATGATTGTATATGTATTATAAATATATATAAATATATATAATATATAAATATATATAATATATAAATATATAATTATATATAAATATATAATAAGTACATGTAATATTTTATATATGTGTGTATATATACACACACATACATATATATATACACACACATACATATATATATATATACACACACATACATATATATATATATACACATACATACATATATATATATACACACACACATACACATATATATATATATACACACACATATATATAAATAAATATAAAAACAATTAATGAAGACAAAGCCTCATTCTGAGGCCAGGCTGGAAATGGTTTGGGGAATATGAGATTATGGTGGAGAATGTTGAAGATAGTTTAAATGATCCTTTACCAAGTTCTAAAAATCTTCCACGGAATGAATGCCCTCCTTTATAAAGATTTCTTTATAGTCCTGCATTCCTTCCTTTCCCTCAACTCCCACCCAGGATTTTTGTTAAGAGATTGACTTTTTTTGGTTCCTTAGTTAGGAATGAACCTCAGACTCCATCCAAAGGTAGATGAAAGAGAATTTTAAATTTAATTTAATTGGTTATTCATTTCTTAAACACTTCTTGAAATATTTGTCTTTTAGTTGAACAATTCCTTGGAGCCTCAAAACCAGAAACATGGTACTGTTTTTAAACCCAACTGACAAGTGTACATCTGGTCTCCCACTAGCTCCCTGTTCAAAAACTAAAGTAACAAACATAACAATTGGGGGAAAATGAGTTAGGGTTGGCCAGGCAAGTAGGGTTACACACTTCATGATCTTGAAAAGACAAAAAAATGAGTATGTACCAATGATCTACACAACTGACACTCACCGAGAGATCACTGCCACCGACTCGCTGCGGGAGACACCACTTAATGAGGAGCACTCTGAGTCTCCTGTGGGAAGAAGAGCAGAGAAGTTTCAACTGGAAGAGACTGCCACATACACCCACCAAGCCTATACAGCTCTTCGTAGAATATTCCATGAATATACATATACATATACATTCAGCCCTGCTCTGGAAGCCATGACACTACCCTCTACCTTGCTTTGCCTTTCTTGTGCTCAAGAGCAGCAGAGAGAAGACTGATGGGACAGGACAACTAGGGACCAGAGTCCTCCAGAAGCTCCAGTAAGTCCCCCAAAGCAGATGATTAATGAGGGTGATAATATGAGTCAAGCACAGCACATAATTGTTAGCCCCCTTCCTAGGAGGCTGCAACCAATCCCACATGGAGGAAAAGGGCTCCCTACTCACCCTCCTCCTCTTCATTCCCGTCATGGCTGCAGCAGTCCTCCAAACTGTCTATTAGTTCTTCTTCTGTATCTTCAGCCTCAACCTGGTCTGGCTGGAGGTTAGCTGCTGAACTAAAAGAAAGAATCATGCCCCCAGCCCAACCAACTCCATAAGATGTCACAGTTAAGAGTCTCATTTCCTATTGCTTTTTATTTTTTAATTTCACAGGATCTCACTAAGGTGCTAAGGCTGGCCTTGAACTTTCTTTTTTTTTTTTTTTTAATTTTTTTTTTTTTTTTTTTTTTAGAGAGAGAGAGAATTTTTTAATATTTATTTTTTAGTTTTCGGTGGACACAACATCTTTGTTTGTATGTGGTGCTGAGGATCGAACCCGGGCCACACGCATGCCAGGCGAGCGCGCTACCGCTTGAGCCACATCCCCAGCCCTGGCCTTGAACTTTCAATCTTCCTAAGTCTCCCAAATCACCAGGATTATAGGCATGTGCCACTACATGCAGCTTCAATCCTCTTTTATCTCCCAGTATTTGTTTCCTCCTTGTCACCAATCTGCTATGTCCTGCCTGGATCTCAAACTCATTTCTCTTGCCCTCAAAGTTCACATCTAGCCATAGTTCTTTACATCCCCCACCTATACAGAAGCACTACCTCTTCCATTTTCTTTGAAGTCCCTTACTTCATAATATATAAGTGCAAAACTCTGCATATAAATGAATATCTTCAAATGTTCCTAGGTTGCTCACTGGGAACTCGGAAGGACTTGGCAAACCAAAATTCCAGAAAAGTAACAAGACACAAGAGAAGGAATCAGCTGTGTCTATGTCCAGACAGAATGGTTGGCTGTCATACCAGCAATGCTTGGGAACCTGATTTGATTTGGAACAAGTAGAAAAGCCACAGATCCCAACACCTGGTGTCTGGAATTCTTATTTCTCTCCTGGATATAACCTAAATAGGGGCTAGCAAACTCTTTCTCTAAAGGACAAAAGAGTAAATATTTTTAGTTTTGCAGGCCATTCAATCTGTCACAACTATTCAACCCAAATGTTGTAACAAGAAGGCAGCTACCGTAAGGCCTGTAATCCCAGCACCTCAGAAGGTCAAGACAGGAGGATCTTAAGTTTGGGATCAGCCTTAGCAACTTAGCAAGACCCTGAGAAATTTGGTGAGATCTTGTTTCAAAATAAAAAACAAAAATGAATAGGGATGTAGCTCAGTGTTAAAATGCCCCTGGATTCACCATTCAGTACCAAAAATCAAATCAAAACAAAGGGGCTGGGGTTGTGGCTCAGCGGTAAAGCATTCGCCTAGCATGTGCAAGGCCCTGGGTTCGATTCTCAGCACCACATAAGAATAAATAAATGAAGTAAAGGTATTGTGTCCAACTACAACTAAAAAATAAATATTTTTTTAAAAAATAATAAGCAGCCACAGACAATAGAAGTAAATGGCCCTGGCTGTGTTCCAATACAACTGTATTTCAAAAAGTAGGCAATGAGCAGGATTTGGTCTGCAAGCTAGTTTCCTGATCCCTGCCCTAAAATGAAAGTCAAAAATTCTGAGACACTTAAAAAATAAAACCAACCTTCAGAGGTAACTGGGTCAGTATCACCATTATGGTATACCCATTGTACTGCTCTAAATGAACCAAAAACATTCTTCTACTTACCCAATATCCCTAGCAGGTGAGGCCAGCTCCCTGCCTTTCTGAAGTTCTTCCTTTCCAGGCTGGCCCAGATGGATGGAAGACAGATGGGTGGCCACTTCAGCTACCCCAAGGGGCTGAAGGAGAGGAGAGGGAACAGGAGTTTTATCTTCTCTAGGTGGTGAGGGATCAACTACAGACTCACAGGCAGGGCTGGGACTGAGCCCACTGGCATGTGAGGCAAGGAGGTGAATGCTGATCCTTTTGGTACAGAAGACTGTACTGTCCAACCCCAAGGTATCCGAGGCACCAGGAAGGTTCCTACTGTCTGATCCAGCATCCTCCTGAGGAAACTGCTGGCCAGCTACAGGTTTCCACTGCCTGCTCCTGTTCAGAAGGTTCCACTGGAGGCTGGGATTCACAAAACAAGACTGTTCAAACTGGTAGCCTTGCCGTGGTATCTTCTCAAAACCTTTTGCAGTCAATTTCCTCACAGCCTCTGTGAAACGAACCTCTTTAGCTGGAGCCTGGGAATCTGAATTGTCATCCAGGACATAGGGATGTGGCTCTGTCCTCAAGGCTAATTTATTCTGGCTATACTGAGAAGAGGCAACACTGGTGGTGGATGTGTTGAGGGAGCTAGGGGTAGACAGAGTAGCAGGGGTGATATGGGCAGTGGCATCCTCTAGGACAGTGCCAGTGCTTTGGGGCACCTTATGATCAACACGCTGGGGTGCATAGTCTCCTGTACCCCCTGAATGATGCCAGGAGATAGGCTGGATCTTGGGTGAGGATACTGACTTCAGGCCCTCTACAGCCTGAGATAAAGGCACTTTAGTGCTACTTGGGCGCATGAAGGAATTATTATTCAGCATGGGCTTATAGGAAGAGGACAGTGGAGATGGGATCTTCCCTGAGATGGCAGAGGCCAGACTCCTCCTTGAAGGGCTTTCCCCAGCTGCTGCCAGTAAGAGGTATGGATCTGTGGATGAGGATGCCATGGGCTGAGCCATGGGGAAGACCGTGGAACAAGTGACTTTACTGGCAGTGAGACTGACAGGAAGACTCTTCTGAGGGAAAGAAAAAGTTTTTTTTTCTGATCGGCTTGAGCGCAAGCAGAAAGACTCCAATTGCTGGTATGGTTTGTGCCTACTGTTGGAACGGCGGTACAGCAGGGTACTGCTGAACAAGTCTGGGAGAGAGTGCAGGTAACAGGAGGTGCTGTGACCTGCAATGACGGTTGTGGTCCCAGAGCTGCATAAAGTGTTGGGACAAAAGAAATAGGCTGGCTGGGGTGGAACCCCTAAGAGGCCTGAGCCCAGCCCCGTTGACAATGTGCCCACGTGCTTCTTCTCCAGCCTCCAGATTGGCTTCACCTGCTGATGGGCCTGTGACCAGACTTTGCACTCTGACGGTTTCTTAGGTGGTGGAGCAGGCACTGTGCCTGAGGAACCTCGCTGCTTGAAGTTGCTTCCCGGGCGGAGGCCAATACTGTAGTGCTCTGCTCCTGCTGAGGCCATGAGGGGCCCACATCATGGCCGCATGGCCTCAGGGCCTGGCTCAGGTAAGGTGCCACACATCTCCAATAGCAACAGCTTCATCTTTGAAGTCTGTCAACTGCAGGGGAGAGAGGGTTAGGAATGCTGTATTCCTGGGAGGATGGAAAGTATACTAGAGTGGTCCTCAGGTAAGCAACAAGTCCCACTCAGCATTTCTTAGGCAACCAGTCTTGGTCACCATTTGGGGCCATGGGAGAAGAACCCTATGTTTCCAGGGAATTCCCAGTGGTCTTCCTGATGCCCTCATCCAACCAGACTTTAATTCCAAGGCTGCTCAGTGTGTCCACCTATCTCACTCAGAAAGTGTGCCTTCCTCTCCAAAAAAAGGTATATATCTTTGTCTCACCATACATAATTCTCCATGAGGGGCCACATCCCCTCACCTAAAACCAGCAAGGCTAGGAATGAGGCAAGTCTGGAAGTGGCAGAGAAGAGCCAATATCTTCCTCTCACCCACCAGTTCTGAAAGCTCAAAAGATTATTTGAGAATGCATTTGACCTCTATTTCTCCCTAATCTAGCTCTCAGCTACCCCTAATTCAGCCTGCTTTTTACAGTTAAGCAGGACAAGTTCAGACAGAAGCGAGAATTCCCCTGATAACCTTGGAGTTTATTCTGGACCTAAAACAGAAATTTCATCTCTTCAAGAATCTTGCCAGCTGGGGTGGGGTTGTGGCTCAGTGGCAGAACACAGCCTTGCACATGGGAGGCACTAGGTTCAATCCTCAGCACCACATAAATATAAATAAACAAAATAAAGATATTCTGCCTATGTATAAGTAAAAAATATTTTTTTAAAAAAACGAATCTTGCCAGCCATACACTTAAATCCCTAACAACATGTTAATAGGAAAAAGAAGAAAGAAAATGGAACTAAACACCAACATTATTTTTACTTACAGTGACTTTATTCCCAGCAGCCACAATGGACAGGAGTGTTCAGGGTGTGGAATGAAGAGGCAAGAAGAGGAGAAAAGCTTTCTTTACTTCAGAGCCCAGACGTCAGTTTGGGTTGCTCTCCAGGATAGAAAGTCTGTCTTCTCATTCATCGTTTCGTCTCATGCAGAATCTTTGAACCAGCCTTGTAGTTCTGAGTCTTAATCTCTTCAGCATGGTCACTCTCTTTCTAAATCAAATTCACAAAATATTCTCCAGTTTTCACAAACGCAGAGAAAGGTGTGTTTGCTTTCACAGCAGTACGGGAGGGGGATAACCAAGCCTATCTATAAGAAGTCAGACATCTGGGATAATTCTAAATGGAACCCTGCTATCCTCATCAGGTGTTTTCAAAGAAGCTAGTGAGGAAAGGACGACACACACAAACAGCCTGCAAAAGCCACGTGATGTCACCTTCTTTTCCTGAAAAGGCTGACCTCCATTGAACTCTTTCTTGAGGAGAGTACAAAAAGTCACATCATCACTCACCAATATTCAAAATGATGGTGGGCTAAAAGCAGCATAAATGTTAAAACCAGATATTGAGGCCAGCTTAACCTCAAAATGAGGTGACATAAATGGATACACCAAAGTGATGGGAGAAAAGCATTAAGAAAATCAAAATTCATGCTGGTATCCCCTGAAAAACAATCCCACTCATGATTCCCCATGTGCATCATGCTACTTCAGACTTTCAGGCCTTTCTAAGCGCTGGTCCAGGCCTTTATGGGTGAAGTCTGCAGGAGCACACCACTGCTGTCTCATTGATGCCACAGACAATCCCATACTCCCCTGCAGGCATCAGCACTCACTGCATAATATCTCAGGGCTGGGTGAAGAATTCCTCTCTGTTGCCACACAGTACTCAGTTTTGCCTGATTTCCACCATGTGAATCCTAGTGCCAGGAACACTGGACACAAGGAGTCTTTCACCCAATTGGCTTGCCTTTTAATCCAAACGAGGAGGAAGAAGGCTAAGAACAAACTCCCACCCTCCTAGAAGATTTGGGTGGCCTGATCCCACACAGTGTGAAGCAGGCCAGCTTGGCCAATGACAGACAGAGTACGGTGACTTCTCTTTTCTCTCCAACTGATGGGATTTCAGAGCTCATGTCTATGCAACAGTCATTTCCATTCCTAGTCTCCTGTCACAGAGGAGACTATGATGTGTAGGATGCCAACTTGAAGAAGCAGCACCTGTATTCCTAAAGAAAGATATCTGCAGCAAGGACCAAGTGGGTAAGATGTTGCTAAATTCTTTCTGAGAAAGAGCTCCTCAGCTAGTCAGAGACATCCAGGATTGGCTAAGATGGCTGTCAGGTAATGCTGAGCAAAAGACAAATTTGTTGTGTCACACTCAGCAGTGAGTAGCTCCAAGAACATGAAGTAAATAGTAACATTCCACAACAGTTATCATATACAAGGGTTCCAAACTGGTTTCACTGTTTTTGGTTCAGAATTAGTATCTGCTTACACAAAGACATGATGATTGCTAAAAGTAACTTCCTTCTTTCTCCTTGTAAAATTCCTAGTGATATTAAAACCTCACATAATGAGAAGCAGAAACCTAGCTAGAACATTCACGCAGACTTTGTCCTAGGCCCCCAACCTCTGCCACAGTCACCTTTGTCTGTGTGTTGTCCAGTGGCTATAGGAGTGTTGAGTAGCAAGACTTAAAAAAGCTGTAGAAGATCCAAAATCTAAGAAGTTGAAAAACAAAAAATAGTTCCAAAAACTAGTGCACCAAAAATAGTGAGTTCTGCCATAAAATCAAAGCCCAGACAGGCAAAGAATGTCTGGCAACCAAATACCACAAAACTCAGAGGCAGTTTTTTGCAAGGTCATCAAGCCCATCCCTGTGGTATACTCTTGGCTTACGAGACAACATCTGGGAGACCGTTCTCCCAAACTCCCTTAAATTTCTAAGTGCACCATAATGACACACTCTATATGTATGACTTTAATTCCAAGATAAACTGCCCATCTCCCAGGCAATACTTTAGGGCAAGGCATCAAAGGGGAAAGAACAGGAAGGAAAGATATTTGTGTACATAGAAGCCACAGATACATCAAAAATACCCAACTTACACAAATATAAACTCATAAAGAACAAATGGTGATTATGCAAGTTACAAAAGGACTTACCACAAGCTCTACTATTTTCATTCAGTTTACATACACTTTTAGCCACATATGTACACCACTGAAAGATAGGCAAAAGCATTCATACTTACTGTCTCTGACTAAGTCCAAAGGATCCTCCATTTGCTGACAGTCCAACTAGAGGCTTGCAAAGAATTCACTTTAGGAGTCAATAAATTCACCTCATCTGGAAAATAACTTTGAATAATCTAACATTTTACAGAGCCAATGATCTAACATTTTCTTGTTCCTACATATGATCCCTGGAGAACAGGAGGACTTAAGAAGCAAAAAGGGCACAAACACTGACCTATAGCCTGCAGAGTTCAAGTTTAGAAGAAAACAAGTATATTTCTGTGGCTAAGTTCTTCAATCTTGGTCCAAATGGGAAAGCGCCCAGCTGAAAGGCAAATAAAGGTAAGTTAGGAGGAACTAACCTGGAGGAAAATTCTCTCTGGACAGTTCTCAGGACATTTGACTAGACTGTGCAAAACCAAAAGTCCAGAAGAATATATACTCCACTGTTAATGATGGTCAGGGCAGAAAGGGAGATGAGGACTGAGCAGGGGAATGTTAAGGGAATGTTACTTCATGGCATCTGTCTTGCTTAATTTTTTTTTAAGTTTTTTTTTTTTTAAGATGGACATAATATCTTTACTTTATTTATATATTTCTATGTGGTGCTGAGGATCAAACCCAGTGCCTCAGATGTGCAAGGCAAGCACTCTACTGCTGAGCTACAACCCCAGCACTCTCTTAATTTTTAAAGCAAAAACATGTATTACTTGTGCCAAGTTTCCCAGGAAGTCTCCAGAGCAATCCTCTTCCCCCCGGCCATGCTGCACTAACGGCTACCACCTCCTGGTGACTTCTGCCAAGCCCAGCCCTGGTCAGCAGTGGATTATATTCCAATGCTGAATCTACACAGCTGGAATATTCTGGGAAAGACAGGAGAGAGTACCAAATTAGTGTGACAGACCAAATTAGAAAACTGACATGAAGCCAACACATTAGGCCATGCCTGTAACACCAGCAACTTGGGAGGATCACAAGTTTAAGGCCAACCTCAGCAACTTAGCAAGGGCCTAAACAATTTAGTGAGACCCTGTCTCAAAATAAAAAATAAAAAGGGCTGGAGATGTGGCTCAGGGGTAAGTGCCTCTGAGTTCAATACCCAGTACAAAAAAAAAAAAAAAAAAAAAAGAAAGAAAGAAAATTCACATGAAGTATAAAAGCACAGTACCTGGCCCATAATCAACATTTGCAGCGTGGTAGTTACCACTCTCCTTCTTACTGGCACCCAATGAGCTCATCTTTTCCCTCAGCCCTTTTATAAGCTTCCATGAAGGGGGAAAATACAAGGAGCAGGCAATAATTATCCCACCACAAGATTTTAGCTAGGACAAGCAATGTTCTTTTATAAAATACATAACTGTCTGTTAGTTGGGAGCTTTTGTGAAATTTATTATACTACCAGCAACTAGATTCTTCAGCTGCAGGTGTGACTAGGCACTAAAGGGCAACTGAAAAGTACTCTGGGACAAACCAGGAGAAGGTATGAGGGAAGCAAAACTTCTTTCCATACTTTGCTTCAGGGTTTTGTTAACTTGGTTTTTTTTTTTTTTTTTTTTGGTTTTTTTTAAATCCTTTTCCCCCCCCCAGGGCTGAGGACCGAACCCAGAGCCTTGTGTGTGCTAGGCAAGCGCTCTGCCACTGAGCTAAATCCCCAACCCCTGCTTCAGGATTTTGGTATGGTTTTTATCATTAGATTCTGGTTGGCATTTCTGAAAACACTAGGTGAAAGAGTTAAAAAGTGACTGTTACTCAACTTCCCAGACCTTGTTTCTAAATACTATCTGTTAATAAGAGGAGCCAGAGCTCCAGGTGAAATGGCTCATTCCAAGGCTGTGGAAGAAAAGCAGGAGATAAGCCCAGAACATCTTGTGCAGTCAAAAAGTAAGGAAGTGCTAAAAATTTGATAGAAACATCAAAAGATTAAAGGAACAGCCAATATCTGCCCCACCCCCGTGCTGGGGATGGAACAGGGACTCATGCATGCTAGGCAAGTGCTCTATCATGAGCTACACCCCCAGCCCCCAATCATACTTAATAATGAAACACTAGATGTTTCTCCTCTATGACTGGGAATAAAAAACTATTCCAGATTAGAGGAAAAAAAGACATAACAAATAAATACAATGTATGATCCTGGGCCACACAAAGGCTATTGTTGGGACAACTGACAGTATTTGAATAAGGTCTACAGATAACAGTATACTGAATGAATGTTAATTTCCTGAATTTGATGGTTACACTGTGGCAAGGTAAGAGAATATCCTGGTTTTAACAAACATTCAGGATGTTTTAAAGAAGTATTCAGATATAGTCCATACATATATCTATAAGATAACATAAATAAATAATAACGCAGTATGGTAAAAATATTGGCATTAAATAAATCTGGGTAAAGAGTAATGTTCTTTGTACTTTTTTTTTTTTGGTAACTTTTTTGTCCTTCCCAAATAAAGTTTTAAGTCATTACTACTTAAAGAAAAGGTTGGTTCTCCTCAGACCAGAAGGCAGGTAGTACACAATAAACTTGGACTTTATCTTTTAAAGTGTACTGGCAGAAATGGATTTTGCCAGTGAACAGCCAAACCAATGGATTTGCTCCTTACTCCATTACCTACAGTGAGCTTGACTGGGGAATACACCTGTCATTCCTAAGGTACAAGAACAAAAGTCAGATGCCTGATATGAGGAACCTCACTACAACAGACATCTTTTAAATGTAGCCACCTAAAGAAGAACTGTTCATTCACCACATACCACATATTCATCCACCACATATCATCCTAACCTGCCAATGAACTCTGACTCAAGGGGAGCTCAAGGGAGAAGGCAAACACTGGAGCCTGACAGATCAAGTTTAACAGAAGCACTTTGGTGTCCATCAATGCATAATGGGGGCAGAGGAGGCCTCCAATACTTACAGGGTAGTGCTGTTTAAACCTGATTCTACATGAAAACCTCACTGCCCAGTAAAACCCAAGTCCTTATCTTGCCCTCAACAGAAAAAAAAAACAGGTGCTCTCAGCAACAAGCAGAGAAACAGAAACCCAAGAGGCTGGGATAAGAACTAAAGGGACTAAAGAGATGGAAACAAGGAAACTCTAGGAAGCTCAAGAGTTTCTGTAATCACTGTCATTCAAGGAAGGAACACATCATCTTTTAATCTCCTTAAATTAGACAGGAACATCAGATTTTAGCAAAGCCATGCCAGGGGGAATGGCAGGAGGACTAATGAATCAATCATATTCCTCCCTTGCTCAATTAATCTTTTAGAGGTAGGGGCAGGAAATAAGTTACAACTGCACAAAAAAAGACTTAATAATAATAATTTAAAAAATTCAGGTAGAATAGCGGGGCCGCAGGCCCTGGAACAGGCGTCCAAGTAACAGAAATTCCCAACATGCCTGGGGTAATAAGGACTTCTCCCTAACCTCAGCAGATCTTCGCTTCCACTCAGTCCATCAACAGGTCTTTCCAGCTTCAAATACTGGTCTCTAATTTCCACAGTCATTAGTTCAATCAAGCCACCATCACCTCTTACCTGCTGATTCCTTTGCTTCTACTCTTTCTCCTCCTTACAATCTGTTTTCTAGGCAATGGCCACAGTGCTCTTTAAACATAGCTTAAAGCCTTCTGATGCGCTAAGGCGCAAGTGATCTGACTGGACTCTCTCTGACCTTGTCAAGAGCCACTCTCCTCACCAGGCATGTTCCCACCACATTTGTTGCTCCTGAAATAATGAGATCCCCAAATGACCAGTTCAGTTCCCTCATTCAGTATTGAGCTAAACAGGCCTCCCTGTCAATGCTCTCTAATACTGCCCCACCCACAATCATTCCCTATTGTACTACCCTGTTTATTCCATTTCATTCATCTACTATCTAAACCTGTGATATTTTAATACTTCCTTATACTTGCCTAAAAATACAATAAAGGGGTAAACAAAGAAATGATTCTTTACAAAAGATTACCAATAGGGTTGGAAACACCAAGACGAGAGACTTCCCTGTGTATACCTTTTCTAATATTTTAATATCTGAACATAAATGAATCACTTATCTATTTATTATATTGTAAAATGAAAATTTCAATTAATTATGCATTTCTTTGTTATTTGCCTATCTTCCAGAATGAAAGCTCTTTAAGAACAGGGACCGTATTTATACAGTGTATGCTCAGCCCTAGAAACATAAACGGGGCACATTAAATATTTGTTATTTAACAAATGCATCTACAACACTTCTGACCAGCTAAGTAACAATTTTTCTACTTTAATGTGCTAATTTACAACACAACACAGAAGACTTCACCTCTGGTCAACAAAAGCGCTATGTGGGGGACACATACCAAGGTGTTCTCTAGTGGCCACCAGCTGGGTGTCCTTCAATTCAATTCTGATACTATCTGCCTTAAAATAGCTCAGACCCATAGGTTAAGGGCTTACACAGACTGCTTACATTCCAGATTGTAGTTATTAAGTCTCAAGCTATGACCCGTGCTTCTGACAAATCAACTAAAAATCCAAGCCTCTCCTTGGCTATGAATAATTTGCTAGAGTAGCTCACAGAACTGAAGGAAACTTTTCCCTCCACACTACCCTTCCATACCTGCAAGTGTTCAGCAATCTGGAAGCTCTCTAAACCCTGCCCTTTGGGGTTTTTAGGAAGGTTGCTTTATATAGGCACGACTGATTAAATCACTAACCACTGGTGATCAACTGGACTTCAGCTCCACACCCCTCCCCAGAGATTGGGTGTGGGACTGAAAGTTCCAGCCATCTAATCACATGATTGGTTCCCCTGGCAACCAGCCTCCTATGCAGAGGCTACTCAGGAGCCAGGGTCATCTAACTAGCACACAAAAAGACACTCATCATTTAGGAGATTAAAGGATATTAGGAGCTATGTGCCAAAAAACAAGGACAGAGGCCAAATATCAATTTTTTATTATAACATATCACAGCAGCACACCAGCAAAGTCACAGGTGAACCACTTCATTTTTAACGTGTGCCCCCTTACCTCCATATCCTGGTTGCTACTTCTTTACTTGGCACATTAACTCTGTCACAGCTATGCCCAACTCCTTCTATAGCTGATGTCCATTCTTCTTCTTTGGCACCCTCCAAAATCTTCTACAATTCCTCTCTTATCCTTTCTCCCACATCAAACCTACCTGTTCTCATAATTTCAAATATTATCTGCAGGAGGATAGTCACATAGGCCAGATCACTCTCAAGCTTCATGTCCACATCACCAACTACCTGCTCCATCTGGTCCAAATTCATATCCAACCACTTCAATCCAGCATTATCAAACTGGCTCTCCACT